GTTGCTTGGTGAGCTGCGCACATCATTCTAGATGCAATAAACATCCAAAGAGATGTTGAAATCTGATAGAATGAAGGAAATAGGTGTAAAAGAGAGGGAAAATGAGAACAATTCCATGAGATTAAAAGATATGCTGATTCTGAGAAGACAGAGAGTGCCCTGTTTTGTTTTGTTTTGTTTTGTTTTTTTTGCCAAATGGGGCTATATTAACAACTAAAGCACCAGAGCACCATGAAGTATGTATTTTATTCAGATTAACCAGAATGAAAATCTATCCCATTATGTTTATCTATCAGATGCTGGAAATACATTGCAACATGGCATTAGCCTCCTATTTTGTCTTTCTTCTCTCCAAGGAAATATTTTAATTTTATATCTGGTGTTTTAAAGTATGTTTAGGTGACCTATTCAAGTTAACCACTGGGCAGTAGTTGACCAAAGGTAAACTGAACCACAAATGCAGAAAGCAGAAGTAAAAGAGCACTTGGAACACACTGAACTTTGGGGAAAAAAGTCTGACAGGTCTTTAAATATTGTAGGGCCATGTCACTTCATATCAGCTGATAATCTGGTTCATACTCTTCACATTAATAAAGGATTTAAGGGCTGTATACTGCTCTGGAAATTCATATCTGTACTTCCATTGTGTTTTACTGGCTGTTAATTTATTTTCCAATGTGAACCCAGTCACATGAAGCTATATTACAATGTTACTTGGGAGTAGCAAATTGGTTCTATTAATCTTATTTACTATGGCTATTTTGAATTTGAGATCGTAAGAACTGTATTGTATTAGAATAGGTCACCTTGACCTAATCAATACTAATCAGCTACCAGGCTTTTTGAGATCAGAATGGCTTGCTGTATGCTTACAAAAGTCTTACTCTTTTCGCTTGCATGTGTCTTCATTCTCTTTCACTTTTCAAGAGGATAAGAATATGAAAAAAAAAGCAGGTAATCTGTACCTATATTTGTATGTTAATTTCAAATACAGCTAGTGCAAAACAAAAGAAAATAATGGTCTGCATTAGCAAAGACAGCTCAATAATTAGTTTATAGCTAACAGATGATATTAACCATTGTATTAATGAGAAGCAGAACTTCTGCCACCTTGATGTTGCATTTATCAATCAAAGCTGTCCATATAATTACGTTTCCTCCTCCTTGAAATCCAATCTGTTTGTTTCCCCTTTTATTATTTCTAGTTGGCATTAAATTGGGACTGAACAAAACCTCAAGGTGATGGACTACCAATATTATTCAGTGGATGCCATAGAAAGTAAAAGTATATAAGGAGTATGTCCTGTCCTATGAGATCTTGTAGCCAGTATTACTGTCCAAGGCCTTTGTCCTCTTATCCACCCAGAAAATAAAATTCCCCAGTGCCCTTACGGAATTTTTCCCTATAGCTTTCTTTCATTTAAGCAGTTTTAATGTCTGTACACTTCTGCGGATACTGCCCACTTAATTTAGCTACATTTAGAATGACAGATCCCTGGCATCCTGAGGAAGGATTATTAATAATGCTCTCCGGGAAAGCAGAACCAATAGGAAACAATTTAAAAAAAAAAGTATCTGGCAGATTCCCCTCCTCTCCTCTCCCCATCTCTCCAGCAAGGGAGTCAGTAACCCTTTTTTACAAAATACGGTTGCATAATAATTGCTTCAGGGGTAGGAGCAGGACTTGCTAACCAGAGATGCTGGCCCACGAGTGACTCGCAGACCTCCTCGGCACCATCTCTGCTGCAGTATTTGCACTTCCAGTGAAATCCAGGCAGGCACCAGTTTCCAAGGGGCTCCTGGGCAGTGAAGGCAGTGAGCATGACCATGAGGACCACAGAGGCATTTCCAGCCCTCGATGTACCCTCGAACCCCTCATGGTGTGTTGCCAGCTGTTCGTGGTGTTGCATCAAGGGCATCTCCATAGTCCAGGAACGCTGAATCTCGTACAATACCATGTAAATGTGCAGACACCAGAATTCCCACCCCTTCCCTAAGAGCACCCCAGTGCTGACACAGAGGAGGATTGTTCTGCACACACCCTAGGAGCAAATCCAGCGTGGAGTCTAGCCAACACAGCAGAAACAAGGCATCACTTTGCTTTTATTATTATTTTTGTTCACATCAGCAAGAATTATGCTTATTAATAGTGCAAATCAAGGAACGAATGCAGGAAAGTGTTCTTAATATGTTTAGGACAACCAAATCACTCGCCATTCACCTAACAAACCCACGTGGCAAGCTGGCAGCTTTCTGGTTGTAAGAACTTTCTAATTGTTTTTAGCTAGTAGGCAGGAGAAACTGATGTGAGGAATATTTGTTGGGAAATCAGGTTCTACCTGTTTAAAGCTTGGTTGGGTTTTTTTAAGGGTCCACAGTTTGCATAGGATTAGCTGAGGAGTAATTAACACATCTTAGAATAGAGAGGGACTTGAAAATTAGTTCTAATTATCTGCAAATACGGAACAAATTGTTTCCTTGTTCCTTGTGCACTGTAAAACATCCATCAAATCTTTGACCTCCACTAAGGCTATGAAAAGCCACACACGTTGGCCAAATGGCTCTACCCTGTTACACCGTAATCACACCCTTCTTCCAGCCAGAAAAGGAGAAACAGCCCCAGCCCAGTGGGTACTTACTCCAGGCACTGCACGTAGGGTTTGGCATCCCCAAACACGGGCATCCAGCCAGGTATCTCCAACCGAGTCAGTCAAATTATACATGGGAGTGAGGCAAGTTGTGCAACTGGCCTTTAATAGCAATACTTCTTTACTGTCAATGAAAATACAGTGTCTGGGTTACTGATTCTAACTTTGGGTTTGAGGGTTTCTGTCTCCCCCACCATGTAAGATTGCAGTGTATAAAAGAAATACTACATTTCTCTTGCTTGCTGGCAGATATGTCTGGAAGTGTTCTACTTGGAAGTACAGAGAACATATTGGAAAACCAGCAAACATAAGGAAAAGTCTGCTCTTACCAAGAGATTTTCCTTTTCCATCCCACTGGAGAGCAATGATTATAACTGGCTGCAGACACCCTCTGCCTTCGGCATCGACGCGATAGATGAACGGATGGCCTTTGGGTTTTGTATAAGACAGAGTGCCAAAGTAGCTCTTTACTGTGATTTTCATAAAGAAGCACGCTCTCTGCTCTGAATCTTTAACATCCATATTAAAAATAAAAAACAATTATTCATTTTTTATGGATTTCTTAAAAATATTTTGTAAAAAAATCTCTTTCAGCTGCATAAATCAGAAACCAACTCCAAACTTCAGCTCCCTGCCCCCTTGGACTACAGCAATTCAACATAAATATTGTAAAAGAAGAATTACCCCTCATCGCTCAGCTTCTGCAAGTTTTATTCCAAATCGCAATACACATTGGCAATGTTCTTCCCACATTAATGCTGTGGTGCACTGATGCCTCCTGCTCCCTGATAAAGCGTTTCCTTAGCTGATGCACTGGCTTGGTGGGAGAGAAGCAATACGTTTCATAAAGACATCTGAGGCAGGGATTTATTTTTTCCCCAGTTTCTGTACTGAGGCTCGAGGCACTGATATTTGCTAATTCTAAGATGAGCATTTGAACTAATCCCCGCACCCTTTTTTTACTCTGTTATGCAGCTCAAGTCTATGAGAGATTTTGACATCAACTCACATTATTTTATAGCCAAGTGAAATCCTACACAACAGAAACAGGTTATGATTATCAAAAAAATGCAAAAGCTAATTTAGAAATCCTCTTGCTACATAATAACAGAAAGCTGGGCCAGGAAGGTCAAAATGAGCAAGCTCGTAGAAGAGAGATGTTGCTGGGGCCATGAGACAGTGCAGCCCCAAAAGTTGTGACTAATCTCTCGCTTCTGCAGTGATGGCTCTCCCTGGCACAGTCCTACAGTAAAAATGTAAAAGAGGCACAACCATGGCAACTGGCTGCAAAACAGTGGATGTTTGTTTTACATTTATAAACCTGCAAGGAGTGTAAAAAACTGAAAAGTACAGCAAATTAACCCCCTTCTCAATAGGCTGTTATATTTTCATTACTATGTTACATTCACCTGTTCTTAAAAGTTAAGGTACATCTGAACCATATTTAAACCCCAGGGGAAGAGAATTAATTTCTGAAATATCTAAACGAATTGATCCAGTAACCTCTCATCAGAGACATATTAGCTTTTAACTTTTAAGTAGCTTTTTGCTAACAGATTGGTATGCTTTGACCGCTACTGGCATTACCTTTTCTCAAAGTTCACTCATCCTATTATTAAAAGAAGAATCACAGTTAATTATTATGTACACACATAGTACTTAAGTGTAAGGAATGTTGTATTACCTACCTACAGATTAGCTTTTTTAACATTTTGGTTTGTCTCTGAGGGAAAAGGAAAAAAAAAAAAAAAAAAAAAAATCCTTGTGATAATTTGTAGAGAAACTCAGTTAGATGCTGGCTGAAATCTGGTTCTGTAATGGAAATGTTTTCACCAAATCCTGCAAGAATTTTTCTTTGAGTGATGGCAAAGGTTTCTCTTGTAATGTAGATGTGCCCTTTCATTTTAGATCTTGAATGCCAAGCTTCCTTCATTACTGACTTAAGGCAGGTTTTTAACCATGTCGGATATGTGTCTGTGTGCATGAAGATACCAGTTATGGCATTCCTTAAATTTTCTGGAAAAAGGTGACAGTTCCTTTGCTGACTGCATGGCATCAGGGAGGTCCACAACAATCAAACTCAAAAACCAGCTGTCAAGTGTCCCTTCCAGTCCCCTGCACCCTCCCATCCCACGTCAGCAAGATCAGGGATGCTTTCCTCCTCCACTCCCCTTTTCCAGGATGCGCCGTTTCACGGGAAGAGCAGAACCTGTGTTGAGTCCTCCGGGAGAGCGGCGGGGAGGTGGGCACTGTCCCCACTTCCAGGGATGGGGCTGGTGGCACCGTCCCCTTCGCAGACCCCAAAGGGGCTGGAGCAGGGTCTAACTCCGAGAGGGATCTGGAATCACAGACTGGTTTGGGTTGGGAGGGACCTGAGAGACCATCCAGTTCCAACACCCCTGCCACGGGCAGGGACGCCTTCCACTAACCCAGTTTAGCAAGTTTAAATCCACTCTCCGATAATTATGCACCAGTTTTCAAGCAAAACTGCAGCTGATGTTTCTGCTGTCACATGAAAATGAGTTTGAACTTTTTTGTCTTTTTAGCAGAATAATCAGTTTCTTCAAACTTGCAAAGGAAATGGTGTCATGGAGAGATGGGAAGGAATAGACGTGGGAGCTGGGAGAACAGGAAGACAGCATTAATTACACAGAGCCTGACAGGTAGAGGAGAAAATTTTGCACTTTTCAAAAGGAAAAGAATTAACAGATGATTGAGAGCAGGGAAAACTGGTAATTTCTTTGCACTGCTTAAATAGTTTGCCAAACTCTTAATGGAGCTCCCTGTGTTAGAAAGAAATGGAAAACAATCAAAGCAGCAGCCTGTAAATATCTAGATTAGCATATTTCTGAATATTTACAAAGTTTTGGGTATGGGAAACGTTTGTGCTTTGTGGCTTTGAGTTCTTGGGTTAAAATATAATTAAATATAATAAACCGACAAAATCCACGGGCAGTTTTGCTAGCCTCGCTGCTTTACCATCTCTATACATCCAGGTTGCCCTCGGGTTGCCTCTGTGGTAATGTCTGGCAATTTGTAGCTTTAAAACTGTATAGTTTTAATAGTGCAGAGTTCAGTAGTTTCATGTAGTACGTACTACGTACCTGAAACATGATAGGGCAAATGAAACATGCGGCTCGGTAGTGGTAGATGATGAGCCCATGGGTTTCCATCTTCCTCAGCAGAAGCTGACAGCCCTCAGGACACTTCTAAGCAAGAACAAATGCAACCAGGCATTAGGTTTCAAGGCGCACCCTCACTGGAAGAAGAAATTATGATCATTTCTGAAAATCTAATGGTTTAAGATTACCTCTAACCCCAGATATTTCTTCTTTTGTGTAGAACTCAAAGCCTGAAAAATACATCTTCTTTTTGTTTTTAAATTACAACAATTACTTGGCAGAAGCTGTGCTGCAAGTTTTGAATAATTTCTTCTTTTTTCTTTTTTTTTTTTTTTTAAGGAAGGGGAAATGTTCTTTACTTTCTGAAAGTTTAATGTGTATTTCCCAGAAAGATCAGCACTGAATTATTGTGCCACTGAAGACCCAGACAAACTGTATCATGTATGATTCTCTTCATAACAGGCCAATTTTATGGAAAAAAATACTGGCACGGAGAGAAAAAACGGTTCCTCCAGGTCAGGAAAAGTACTCCTCTGACAGCTGTTAAAGCACAGGGTATAGGCATTTGGGAGTGATTAATTTTTCTTTTTAAGGGGGTTGCTTCAAAAAATCATTAAAAAGGCTTCTGAAACTTGACAGTTTTCTTCTGGTATAGAGAGAGGAAAATGAAAAGGTCTAAAGTGCCAAGGGAGGTAGGGCAAGCAAAGACTCTGCCAGCCCTTTAGACATGTAAGATGGACGAATTTTTAGATCCTCAACAAGAAAAGAGAGCAAAGAATGCAAGGAAAACACAAAGAGTAAAGAAGCTGTCGGTGCCCAACTTGCCTTTGTACCTGTGACCAGGTATCTGCTCCCTTAGCATCAGCAGAGAAAGGTCTAGGGAAAATCTTACAGGTCAAAGAACACTAAGGGAAATAAAAAGCATTCAGCTCCTCAAGGCATGGTAAAATTCATCCCGGTGAACTTAGGGGTCACTAGTAATTGTCTTTAAAATCTAGTAGAATGGGTGAGACTCCAGAAGACTGAGGAGAAGTTGCAAGAAAACCAGGGAAAGCTGTAGACAAGTTTTTGATACTTGGATACACAGAAAAATACTAGAAGAGATGACTTAAAACATCTCATTATGTGATTCAGAAAACAAAACAATAAAAGCAAGACAAAAAATGCCAAAACAGAGTTTTGGTCAAGATTAAAACAAATTAAACCAAATCCATTATTCAGTACACCTGTAAAATCCAGGGTGGCCTCATGCTGAAAAAAGCAGGAGCAGAACCCAATTGTCTGAAATCAAGAGCACAAAATGGGATAAAAAATGACATATTACATTGATAAAATGCCAAATAGCATACTGGGAAGAGGAAATGAAAGGCAAAACAAGGAGCACTGAGCTAAGCACTGAGACAGGCTACAGAAAAATGAGGCAAATTCACGTTGTGAATACAAAGCATTTCCAGAAAATACAAACCACAGAAGCATCGCATGCAACACTCCAACCTCATAGTGACGGGGGACTGTCCAGTCACACCTCACCACCACTGGTAGTACCAGTTTCCCCAGCAATCCCCTGTGACTGGGGCTCTCAGGGTGCTGCTGCTTGAGAGGCAGTTTGCAGGAGGTAGTGCATGGCCTCAGCAGGAGATGGGGCAAGAAGTCTGGGCTGCTGAAATAATTACAGTTAACTCTTTTATAGGCACATTCTCTCAAGGAGTTTATTATGCAGCCGTTAAAGATTAATCCCCTTAATTGGGTACATCAAAAGATATTCTTGAGTATATACAGGTAAGAGTTGCACACCTTTTATTTAAACACAAATAAAACCTCCAAAGAAATAATTTCCGATTATAAAGCTGCAAAACCAGAACTATTAAATACTGTGCCTTACATTACTTGCCTCAAAGATTTCATGGTTGTTATCGAAAGTATCAGATTTACTCATAGCATTGACTACACCACAACGGCCTTATAAACAGGTTGAAGTTGTTAAGATGTTATTAAAAGAAAGAAGCAATGCGTGCTTCGCCAGCTGGTTGCAGTTGCAAGTCGAAGAACATATGCTCAGAAGCTGGAAAGGTGCTCCGATGCACTTCCAGCTTGTGTCTGCCCCAACAGATTTCACAGGACAAGAGGGAAATCCAGAAAACGCACAGAAATGAAAGACAGGAGAAGCTGGAACAGGCAAAAGGGAAAAAGAAGAGTGCAAAGAGAATTTGAAATTAATTTCAGACGTCAAAATTAGCTGGAAAGATTTGAGATTCAAAGGAAAAGATCCTCACAGCTGAAGACATGATGGCCCTCACATATCAAGGAAAGGTTAAGAAGAAGAAATGGCTGCAATTTTTTCAACCAAATATTTTCATTTAGAAATAGGATATGCCCAAACTGATATTGTTTATGTGAAAAGGCTGATATAAAAAAATTCCTAAACTGACAGAACATGAAGCTGAAAAATACTTTTCATTTTGAAATGGAAAGAAAAAGGTTAAAATTCAAACTTGATACAAATCGAAGTGCTTTGAATTGACCTGAAAATGGAACATATTACTTTCAGAAAAAGCAACAATAAAGAAAAAGAAAACGTTCACCCCCATTTGGGAATGGAAACTTTCTGAAGTATTTTGCAGGACAGGGAAACAATTTCACTCAGAGGTTCCTGAGGGAACCTAGAAGAAAAATGGATATTCAATTTATAAAAGCAAGAAAAGAACCCATTGAGATGTTACCTTTGGCTATGAAAGATATAAATGAAAATAAGTACGGATTCAGAACAGCAGCAGTCAAACATGCTCCCACATTTTATGACTGACATGTAAAGTGCTTCATTAAGTTTCTCCTGCCATTTGAAGCCTTATTCTGCCAGGGGTCAAAAATAGTTAAATGTCAAGGTACAAAACAGAAAGTATGGAATATGAAATACTATGGTAAATTAAAAACCTGTCAGGGAGCAAAACTCACATCAAGTGGTGTAGGTGCTGGTAGATGAACAAGAGTCTGCAGCTATGGAGAACAGCTAATATTCTGTCTAAAAAATACAGGTTAGACTACATTTGTACCAAAATAGTGAGAAAATGATGAAGGGTTTTACTCTAGTTATTCTGAGGAATGAAAAGATAACACAGCTAATATCCATACAGGCAACGACTGGAGAGTTACTGCTGGTATTTCTGGAAATGACTGAGGGTGGAGAAGGACTACAAAAAGCAATAAAGATGATTGTGCAAGAAGCCCAACACATTCTCCCTGGATAGTCTAAAACAAATATTTTAATTCCATTCTATTTTGAAGGTATCTTAACATAATTTGAAACAGGCTATTTTTATGGTGAAAGCAACGTCACACCTTGCTAATCCATTTTATTGTATTATATGCAGACATCCCTAGACACAATGCCAATCCCTTGTATTATGAATTTGGGAAGGTCCTTTTAGCTCTGCTTTATTTACTTCACTCTGTACTTCCTAAATAAGGCCCAGAAGATGTCCACTGTGGTTTAGTCCCAACCTTATTCAGACCTTTCAGCCTCATGTTTCAACCCAACAGTGGCAGAAAGATCGACCACACGCCAGCAGTTTGTCAGCCTGCATGCTGCTTCATGTTCAATGAAATATTCTTATCTTTGAAGAAGCCCACACCTATAAGGAACCATTTTGCAAAGCTCTAAATGTTGACCAAACGTAAAGCAGAAAAACTCTGACAGAATGAAATTTGGGCCAATTCCAAAGCAGTGCAATTGCATACCATCTGCAGAAGGGTTGGAGGAAAGGCATGCATGGCAACAGCAATAAATTGAAAAAAAATTAATCAAAGGGGATAGTGTTTCCAGCATATCAGCTTTCCTGTGTTCTTCCTGTTACTTTGGGAGAATCTGGCAGTAATTTCTCTGGACTTTAATCTGTGTGGATGGATCTTTTCCACCTGATCTCAGTGTTTCCTCCAAACATCTGATGGCAGATTTTATTGCTACCCTATGTACTTTCCCACATATTTGAATTTTGTTTCATATAAATTATCTTCTTGACTCTGGCCTGGTAAATTTGCTTGGCTTGCTAACTCATTTTCCTTTGTCCTTGTTTTGTGGTATCTATCAAACCAGTATGCAAGTAATATTTTCTGTCGTACTAAAAAATTAGTTGTAAACAGAGGAGAAACAGGAAAGTTCTTTGCTGCTGTACAGATTTATCATGCGTTAGTAACACATTTGGTATTACAAAAGGGATCATATAAATTATGAAAAATGGTAATGAAATACAGCTTGGAAATGTTATAAAGAATCCTAGTTCTGCTGTGGTATGATAGAAGCAAGAA